CACAGCACTGAGAAGCTAAAGCCACTTCCACATGAGTTCAATTCCTGCCTGCCCCGGAGGAGACCACATGGCGTGGCAGACCTCTCCTGACCCACCCACTGCTCCCCGCAGCAGTGTACTTTGTCGATCTGCCTGTTCTGCTCCCCACTCTGTCTCTGGTGAAGCCTCTCACCGCCCCTGAGCCTCTGGCCTGTACCCCAGTTCTGTGTGAACAAATAAATAAATCTTAAAAAAAAAAAAAAAAGTCAAGTTCCAGGCTTGAGGCTCTCACTTCTGTGCCCAGAGAGCTTCCTTGTCTGTCAGTGGAGAGGCTGGGTGTCCCCCACTGCCGACAGCCTGTTGCTCATGGGACCCAGAGATGCCCATTCTGCTAGTTTGCTACATATGGATTTTTCTTAGTGCTTTTTGTTTTTCTAAATATCAGAAAGGGCAGTCTGAGAAAGAACTTTCTTCTAGAAAACCATGAATCAAAGACAGCAACTTCGTTGACTATATGTCCTATGGACCCAACTCCGATGACATTCTAAACTCCTAATTGGCTTTGCTGTGTTTTTGTCATCAAAAATGCATTTAGTATTTGGTTCAGTCCCTGCTATTACCTGTAAAGGTGAAACACGGACTACTAAATCTCAAATCTCCCCACTAGAGGCTAATTCCTGAATCTATCCTTCCTGCAAGAGTCAGCTAACATTTTTCTGCAGTTCAGGGAATGCCACACTAAACATGCAAGTAGTAAAGATCTCTCCTTCTAGAACCTTTCTAACTGCTGATTTTTTTTTCTATGATGTTACAGGGTCCTCCGGGTCAGTTTGGCAGCTCTTAGTGACTAGGACTCTCCCTTATGACAACTGAGAACTGCTTTCGTGGCTTTCCAAACACAGGCTGACCCCTCCCTGCTGAGAGGCCGGCACAGAGAAGGTGCTTACAGACACTTCTTTCATTGGCTTTATTGCTCTGTAGGAAGTTCACAAAAAATCCTTTTGAGAAATTCAAGTTATGGGGCTTGGCCTCCTGCTGGGCTGTCTCTCAACATGACTTAGGTAGTCCCTTAAGACTGGGTTCCTGGGTTCCTGGATTCCTCTCCCTGGCCCTGTGCTCCTCCCAAGCCCAGTCACACACACCCCTCTTTTGCTCCCCCCCCCCATCAGAACCACCCACAGAACCACAGAACCACCTACTTGTACCAGTTCCCCCACTGGACTCTGGGACCCTTGGAAACAGGGGCAACATATGACTGGCTTGAAAGATTTCATGACTTGGCGAAAAAGAAAACATGAAAATACAAGTAAAATGGCAAGAAAATTTTTTTTAAAAGATTTATTTATGCATACAGAACTGGGGTACAGGCCAAAGGTTCACAGACGGTGAGAGGATTCATCAGAGACAGAGTGGGGAGCAGAACAGGCAGATCGACGAAGTACACTGCTGAGGGGAGCAGCGGGCGGGTCAGGAGAGGTCTGCCATGCCACGTGGATCTCCTCCGGGGCAGGCAGGGATCGAACTCATGCTGAAGTGGCTTTAGCTTCTTAGTGCTGCGCTTTAACCCACTGCGCCACCAGGTAGGGCTGCAAAAATATTTTTACTTGCCAATGAACCCTGAAAATATATGAGTTAGGAGACTATGCCTCCAAAGATAAGCTGCATGAGTATGTTAGATCTAGTGTATCCACAGGCCGGGTGGCTCACAGCAGACGTTATTTCCCCACCGTTCTGGAGGCTGGACACCTAAGATCAGGGCGTTGGCAAAATTAGTGTCTCCCAGGCCTCTCTTTTTGGCTTGTACATGGCAACCTCCTCACTGTGTCTTTCTCTCTCTTTGCATCCCTGGTGTCATTCACTCCCCTTTCCTATAAAGACTCCAGTTTCATTGGATGATGACTTCCTTTAACCTTACTTATCTTTAAAGATTCTTATCCCAGTCATATTTTGAGGTATTGGGGTTAGGATTTCAACCTATGAAACAGTGGTGGGGTGGGGATGGAATTTAATTCAGTTTGTTCATGCCAGACACTGAGCAGCAGAACAGCCAGAATCAAAGTGTCATGGAAGACAAGAGGTTAATTAAATTGATGTGCTCCCTTCAATGGAGGGGCATGAATTTGTGATTTGGAGATGTAGACAGGTGAGATTTTTAGACAGGAGACCTGGAAGATAATGTGAATCTATATTTTAAGAATAAAGGTATTTTTATTAAAGTAGGATTTGCTGAAGCAGGAAAATATTGAGGGCAGAGGTTGCATGAAATGTACCCTTAATCTTCCTGAAGTGGGTGAAATAGGGCCCCCAGGAGCAGGGAAGTGAATGTGGGGTAATAGGGGAGAGCAAGCCAAGGGTGTGAGGCTTGAGCATAAGGGCCTGGGAGGTGTGTGATTCTCCCTTGCAGAGAGGGAATCTCGGGAGCTGCCAAACTGGAACTTGATTGAGAAAAATACTGAGAAGATGAAACTTTTTTCCCCCAGGCCTGGAGAGAAAGGACACATCTGCCTCTAAGCTTGAAGGCTTCAAGGTTGAAAAATACTGTTGGTAGCTTCTATTAATTGCAGCTTGAGTGTTTCAAGAGACCCTCCCCCTTAGGACTAAATGTAGGGAGGAGGAGGACTTGGTTTACAGAAACATCTCTAACCAGCCTCGCTCCCTAGCAGGGTCACAGGGATTTTCCATTGTTGCGACATAATTCTGTGCCAGCCTTTTGCAAATTGCAAAGTTTATTTGCTGTGACGCTGCTTTTTATTACCTAGCACCACTGTTATTATTTCTCAGTCTGCTCTCTCTAAAGTTAACAGCTCTGTGCTGCAGGGGAGAGAGGTTTTCCTTTACTCTTGTAGGGTCTCTGGCTGGCTTTGAAAATTAGGTTGACAAAGACAGATTAACAGGAGGAATACACAATTTGCATTCAAGTTTTGCATGGATATGGGTGTTTTTGTAAAAAACTAAAGACCCAGAAGTAACCAGGAAAGCACAGCTTTTATACCTTTTAGACAAACAATAAATTTGTGGTGAATTAACAAGACAAAGCATTTGATCTAGGGGTGTGAAATTGTAAAGAGTTCTAGTAAGATAAGGGTCAGCTGAACAAGGGTTTGCTTGTACTGATTCCCCTGGGCTAATAAGAGTCCCTAGAAGGAGCATTTTATTTCTGCCTCTATGCAGAAAAAGGCGGAGAGGTTTTTTTCAGCTACTGTTACTTCAATTGCAATTGCCTGAGGTCCCTAGCAACCTGCCTGTAGAAGCTGTGAGTCTGGACGGACAGGATTGGAAACAGCAGAGCACTAGTAAGGGTGTCATTGGAAGGTGGGCCGGGAGTGGAGTGTGTGGAAGGACGCTCTGACTGGCACGTAGTGGCTGCACATATGGGCTCCCAGTAAATGCTGAATGAGCAACTATAGGAAGCCAGTGCACCAGGTTCACCTCGCTATATCTCTGGGAGCACATGTATCTCTTGGAGAACATCCTGAACCTCTGCAGTGTATATACAGTGACACTCTTTGGAAAGAGGTTCTGGCAAAATTAAGACTGGTGAGAAATTGGAGATGTCTTGGGATTTTAGTTATCTGGATCATTAAGACAATATTATCAAAATGTAGCTTCTTCCCTTCCCTGTTGTTGCCATTTTTTCCCCAGTCCTTGAGTGCTTTTATTTCTCCTGAGTGCCTTTCCTTTCTTACCTATACTGGTTGGGTTGCTTTGGAAATAGACATTACCCAAGTTTAATGCAGCTTGGAATGACAAGGTAATGCTCGAGACTCTAGCACATTGGCCTTTTATAACTGCAATTGTGTTTTCTTTATTAGTTTTTTTAAAAAGAAGATTTCGGTTATTGCACATTAATTGCCACAACTTGCAGAAAATGAATCATAGCTCTGTAACTATGTCTCTGCTGGGGCATGTCTCCAGCTGTATCTATTAAAACTGTAATGTTGTTTATGAGACTATTTGATGATTTCAATATCAAGTAAATTTCTTTTTTCATTAGACTTTTGGAAGCTTTGTTTTTCTTTTATAAATAAAATATAGTGTTAATATACCCCTTGAAGCTAATTTCTAAGGTGGCATAATTATTTGAAATTTCTTAGAGAAATAGCACTAAGAATTTGAAAGTGAAAGTGTTGGTTGAATTGTTTCTTTTAAGGATCATGCAGTTCTATTACTTTATTGAATTCAGAGCAACACAAAACATCAGAGATAAAAGGGGCTAGGAAGTTTGTCCCCCAAGGCTTTTGGGGGGACAGTGCTACCTTAGGCTCCCTTTCCGTAAACACACAAAGAATGTTTAATAAATACGAAATTCAAAACCAATTAAAATTAATTATTGTCACCAAAAACCAAAGCAAAGCAATGTATGACATACATTAAATAAGTCATTCTTCTTTTGTAAATCACAGGTGACTTGCAGGTCCTGTTGCCTGCAGGGATCTCCTCCTTCCCTCTGTTGGAAATAGCTGACAGATTAATTTACTCATCACTCATTACAGATTAAAAAGACTGAGTTCTGAAGAATCAAGGAATGCCTGTGCATTTAGCATATTGGAGACAGAGCTTAGATAAGAACTCAACGATCTTGGTGACTACTCAGTGCTCTCTCTCAACCCTACCCACATCCCTCCACCCCCAGCCCCTTGAGGATATTCCCTCACATACAAGAGACATCCAGCCTCGGCTCCCTATAGTTGAGGATGCTGATATTCTGGAAGGTTGTTTGATTATATATTGTCGCAGCAGAATGAAGGTCAAGGCCAAGAAATAGCCCATAAGTGTGGCTAGTCTGTGGATCCTGGTGGGGTTTTCTCCCTTTATTTCATTTCTTACATTTGTGTTTTCTTGATATAGAAACACTTCCCTGCTATAACTTCTGGGGAACAGGTGGGAAGAAAACTAAATCTGAAAATGTTTGCAATAAAATTTGTACTTTTTCTCATATTGAAAACTCGTACTGATGGTGTTCCCTAAAGAATGCAGCAGGCCTTCTCATACTTGCAATTTGTTCTTTTTTTTTTAAACAGCGTATCTGGTGGCGAGCTGTTTGATCGGATAGTGGAAAAGGGATTTTACACAGAGAAAGACGCCAGCACTCTGATCCGCCAGGTCTTGGATGCCGTCTACTATTTGCATAGGATGGGCATCGTCCACAGGGACCTCAAGGTAAGGCTGTCATTAGTCACATCCTCAGCTGTTCTCCAGCCCACGGAGCACCTGTCTCAGAGGTGGCATGGACATGCTTTGGTGTAGCTGCAGATGGAATGAATGTGGGCATTTGCGTACGTTTAGTTGCTAGGTTCTGTGGGACGCAGAAGTGGTGACGTACATCAATGGGACTAGCCATTGTTTGGAAGACTTTATGACATTATGTGGGCCAAAGCATTACAGGGTGCTGGGTGGGGTATCACCTCAAGGCTGCCTTAAAGGTAATTCTGTTCAGGACATGCAGGCACTGAAGGCCCCTTTTCTGGTGCTGTTCTCAGTCTTCTCCAATGCCTGCTGTTTCAGCACGGGTCCATGGAAATAGGAAAAGGGTGGGACTGAGAGGAAAGGGAAATAGAAAGTTAAAGATAAATGACCTGTGATTACACAGCCTTCTACAATGTCCTGTATATTCCTGGCTTCCTTCACCCGTTGCCACTGAAGAGTAGACTCTGCCTTGGGCATGCTGACATTTCATTCCGCACTGGGGCTACGTAGGTACCAAAGGGCTGTTCTCAAACATACAGGCCAAGGGAGCCAGCGAACATGTCTACTGGAGGAGCTGTGGAAAGCAGCCCTGTTGATTGACGATCTTAAAGTGGCTTCGTTCCATGGCACCTCCACATCCTTCCTCTACAGAGGCGCTCTGCTCCAGTCAAGAGAGAAATTTCTCCCAGCACACTTACCCAGCACTCGCATCATAAACGTGCAGATTATACTGAGGCTTTGCTTTTCATGATTATAGGAAATCAAAATCATTGCAGAGAATAAATAAACATTTATGAAGACAGAATTGCAGCTTCTGCGCATTATCTGGTAGTGTACAAGGGTACAAAGAGGTGGGATTTTTGCCTTTCGTGAGGACTTTTACTTTTACAAGGGCTTTCAGCAACATTTTCCTTTTTTCTCTCCAAATTACCACTCTCTGTTGATGAGAACCGGAACTTCCAAAAGGTAGCCTACATCAGAATTGTCTGGGAAGCCTGTAAGAACACGGAGTACTGACCTATTCAGAGGTTTTGATTCTGGGGGTCTGCAGTGGGGTCCAGGAACCCAGATTTGTAAGGGTTTGCCAGTGACGCTGATGTTGCCCGGGAGCCATCCTGGAGAACCATCAGAGGAGCAGCTCTGAGTGTATATCTGTGGAGAGCCGTTTGTGAATATGGACTGAGTCTGCACAGACTTTGCCCTTTGCAGGCTTCCTGAAGGGTGACGGTGGACTGTGAGCAGAATCCACTGATCTTCAGGACCTTGAGGTCCTTTAGAGTCTTTGTGCCCTCAGCCAGTGCCAAGCATGCTTCCTTTCAGAACGTGCAGGCATCTCTCTGAACTTAGGAGATATGACATCTCTCTGCGACTTAGGAGATATGGTGTGAAGGGCTGGTTCTCTGTACTTATTAGAAATACTTTCCAAGCAGATAAGCCATTTCCTACAGGGGTGGTATTTATTTTCCCTGTAGAAAGGAGGATTGTCTGTGTGGGAGACATTGCATTTTACTCCCACATAATGCTTTTGGAGAAGTACTTGGAGCTCCCAGCCTGTGGAACTTTAACATTCCCAGCCGTTAATTGTACAAAGAACATTGCCATTTTAGGACCTTTTTGTCATCTCTTTACAGAACACAAAGGATTTTGATCTATGTGGAGGAAGTTGGGTTGGGATATAGAATTTTCATAAACATCTAAGAAAGTGAAAAGAACCAGCAATCTAGGCCAGAGCTATAGAGAACAAACTCATGCTAATTTGGGGTGAGGGCTTAGTCTGGGGTACTGCCCCAGCCACATGAGGATAGGCCCTATTCTCTCCAGAGAGGTATTCTATGGCTACCCTAGGATGCCATCAGAGACACCCACTTGTCCTATTTGCAAAGCACGGACTCGAGACTGGAAATGTCCACAGTTGTCTCCTCAAGTTAAGACAAGGCTTCCCTTGACATTGACATTGGGGACAGGTACATTCCTTGTTGGGGGGACTGGACTATGCTCTGTAGACTGTTCAGAGGCTTCCCTAGCATCTGCCCACTAGATGCAAATGCCTCTCCCAGAGTTGTGAAAACCACAGTTACTTCAGCATTGCCAAGTATTCCTGGTAGGGTGCAGGGTTTCCTGGCAAAATGCCCCCAGTTGAAAAGTACTGGGTTAGGATGATTATGTATGATATTAATTTCACAAGAAGTGTTGATTTGGATCTTTTAAAATCTTATGTGAACTTCTAGAGGGTTGGGGTTGACATTCCAGTTTAACATTGGCCACCAATTATCTTGCAAAGTTGTCATGAACTACAGAAGAATAATTTATAATCATTCCTTGAAATTGTAGGACTCCAAGCAGAATTGTAAGTTCCCCTTGGCCACCCCACTCCTTCACCCCGCTACTACCAGCAAGAGGTCTCCATCTCATACTGGAGTTACCGATCTCACTTCCCCTTCACTAATTAAAAGAAGAGTTTTGAGGAGAAGGAAGGTAGTTTGATTTATTTGTTGGCAAATGACAAGGGTAGCAGAGTGTGAAAAATTACTGTCCTCATTACTAGCAGGGTATAGGGTGTTTAACTGGCACCACAGGACCTGAAAGGGGAATGGGCAGGCCCCGTACACTCATTCTTGTCACAGAGTGTTTTGTTATTTGATTGACGCCAGCTTGTTTTCATCACATCTGCTGGTGATACCTGATAGGCTCCCTTATCTTGTCTTCATATCTGAGTGCCCAGGCAAAATATGTGTGGTCAGTATTCCCAGAAATCCTCTTACCCGAGTGTCCCCTTTCAGTCATTTTCAATCCACTGCCCCCCACCCAGCACTGAGCTGTATATCTCCACGTGTCCTTGTATTCAGAATTGAGCCAGCCTCTCTCCCCACTGCAGTGGCCACCTGAATAGGATCTTCTTCTCCTTGTCTAACAAGTGTCTGAATAATTTTAACAACTCCAGAGGTGGGGGAGGAAGAGATTTGACCAGCTCCAAGAGGGAGGGTTGGTCTGTAAACTAACTTAGCAGGATGTGTGCGGTGACCTCACTATGCAGGCCCAGAAAGCGAGGAGGGACACAAGGCCAGGGTGGAGGCCGCATTGAAAAGAGACCAGAAGTGGCCTCCCTGGTGGTACAAGGGGTTAAGGCTCAGCACTGTGAAACTATCAGCAGCCACTGCAGCATGAGATCCATCCCCCAACCAGAGAGGTGACCCACACAGCACATCAGGCCTCTCCTATCTTACCTCTGCTTCCCTCAACAATGTATTTCAGTAGATCTGCCTGTTCTGCTTCCTACTCTGTCTCTGGTGAATCCTCTCAGCTCCTGTAGCTCTTGGATGCATAAATAAATCTTTAAAAAAAAGAGGGCGGAAGAACCAGGCTAATGTTAGGTCAAGGAAGGAGTCTTTATCAGTTCTCAAATTTCCTCTCAGCAGTAGTTGCACTTCAGAATCTGACATCCAGAGGCCTGGGCCTGTTTCCAATCCACTGAAGAGCAGCATCTCCGCCATGTTGTCTCCCCAGGCAACTATCCTGCACCAATAGGCCAGCAGCCACTTCTACATAAGTCTAGTCACTCTGAGTAAAAGCATTCCTAAAATTCAAAGGTTGGGGTCTTTGTGAAATTTACCTCAAACCACTGAGAAGGAGAATATGGCTTTATTCTCGGGGTTGGGTTGGGAGAGAGCCAGACAGAGAACGAGTTTCCCAACTGGGACGCCCGCTGTTGTCTTTCCTTCAAGGTTTAGTGTAAATGAGAAACACGATTACTGCTTCATCCCATAAATTGTCAGGATATAACTGATGGAGTGACATTGCTACTGGACCACAGCAGATGCTCCAACCCCTGACATTATCTTCCTAGTGACAATGTCATCCATTGAAACAACTTTTCGGATAAATTCTGTAGCCTCCTTGGGCCTCAGGCTCCATAAGTCCTGCCCCCCTCTTTGCTAGAACTGAGGAATGTCCCAGATTTTACAGGAAACTCTGCATAGCAATTGAAGCTTCATAGTCTCACACCTCAGCCCCAAGATAGCTGCTCCCCAAGTGCCATTGTGGAGACACCGCTGGTACCCCTGATGAGCAGCGCTCCAGCAGGTATGACCAGGCCTTGGCTGTGTGACTGCTGACACAGCCCGCAGCCCATAGTGGACCATTCAGGGAGGACAACAGGGAGCCATCGCCACCTGAGTTCTGCAGATGGGCCAAGGCCACAGAAGTTCATGCCTAAGGACATGTGGCTAGAAAGTGCTGGACCTCTAGTCCTGTGCATTCTTCCCAAAGGCACCCATCTGCTTCCCTGGGCAGGGGAAGGCAGAACAAAGAGATCTTTGGGCTAGTGAAAGATGGTTAACAAGCATCACTAATAAAAAATAAAACAGCACCTGCAAAAGTAATTAAAATTATTTTCCTAAGAATCTTCTATCTCCCAACCCAAGAAATGAAAAATATAAGCAGCATCTTTAGATTGCCTCCAATTATGGCTTTTTTTTTTTTTTAAGTAGAGAAAATGCTAGTAAAGGGGCATTTATTGAAAGGCTGTATGTGCCCGATACTCTGAGGGCCCTCTATGTTGCTTTATCAAACACTGCTTTCTGAAGAGCTTTTGCAGACTGGGGAGTCTCCCACAATTATCCATATCCTACTAACGAAGCCTAAATAGTTTTTGTTGTTGTTATTCTAGCCTGAAAATCTGCTGTACTACAGTCAAGATGAGGAGTCTAAAATAATGATCAGTGACTTTGGATTGTCAAAAATGGAGGGCAAAGGAGATGTGATGTCCACAGCCTGTGGAACTCCAGGCTACGTTGGTAAGGACTGTGTGTGTGTGTGTGCGCGCACGCGCACACGTGTGTGAGAGAGAGTACATATGTGCTTCCCCACATGTCAACTTCATCATTCTTAAGCAGCTGAGCCTGGCACGTGATCACAACTGCCTTCATTTCCCTTGAGGGATGAATCAAAAAGATGGAGAGATATTGGAATGAGTTAGAAGAGAAGTGATTTCCCCTGAAATCTGTTTGATGTGGGTATCGGCCTGAGTGGAGGCTGCGAGTTAATTTGGATGAATTCCCATGTTCTAATACCAGAAATATTGTAGCTACATCTGTTTTCCTATATCTATGGGGGGCACTGGGATAATAATAAGATACAGACACAAAGCATGTCAAGTGTTAAGAACAGCCAGAAGAATAGTGGTAGGAGGAATCTTGTTCAAACCTTGATGAAGTCTCACTCTTCAGTTAGCCAGTCCTGACCCGTACGGGAAAAGTCCAGGATGAAAGTCTTCTCTAAAGTAAGAGCCCGACTCCTTTGTACCAAGCATGCAGTGTGTGGAAAGGCTACAGGGACGGCCTGAATATATTCACACAGAGGCCATCTTCCTGCTGGAAGGAGGACCTGGAGGAAGGTCCCTGGAGTCATTTGTGACCTTCTTGAGAACCTACACGAACACATTCACTCATTCTGCAGATGGATAGTTCAGTGTCTCCTTTGTTCCAGATGCTGTTGTAGGACTGTGTGAGGCAGAAACGGCGCCGCCCTCACCCAGCTTACATTTTAGTTGGGAGCGAAAGACAAAGGCAAAGAAATGAACAGGATTATTGTGTATCCTAAGTGCTGGGGTGAAAATAAAATGGGGGCATGTAATAGAGTGACAAGGGGTGAGGAGAGATTAGAAAGAGAGGCAACCTGGAAAAACTGGAGCATCAAGCATTCCCGGTAGGTCATCTGCTTGTGCAGTAGCCCTCAGTGGGGAAAGCCTGTGGGTGGGGAGAGAGTGTGACTGAGAACAGGGCAAAAATGAGGTTGGAAAAGACTTTTGGAAAATGGAGACCAACGCGAATTCACGACCCGCAAGCCGTGGAAGCTTAATGGGAGCACTGAATCCGCTGGACAGACAGGAGGGCCTGCCTGTGGCTAGCATTCCTGCTGGCCTTGGCGAATGACCACATGACCTTGCCAGAGAGACTGAGGAAAGCAAAACTAAACCAAAACAGGCCTGGGTCCCAGAGCACTGTGGGGCGGCTCCAAGTGGCCTTGAAGGCACATCAGGACCCTCCTGGGTGTTTAGGGCACAACTGACTCACTTTAAAGGAACTCAAAGGAGAGCAGAAGGGAGCTGACCAGGAAATAGAAAAATAGAGACCTGGAAGGTTAGGAGGCAAGGAAGAAAGTGAGCGGAAAAGCTTGGTCAGGACCACTTAGCTCGTGACTGTCACAGGAGGGATTGTGTCTCCGGAGAAAGTGTACACGCGAGGTTATCCAGCTCACGTTGAAGAGGTGTGCGCAGGTTTGATGGAGATTTAGGGCACAGTGGTAAGCCATGTGCAAGGATAGTGGAGTGAGAATTACAGGAATAGCCTAGACCCAGTCAAGGAGAACCAGAGTCACTGCAGCAAAGTGAGGTGCTCGTGCAAATGCTTGTGCATGGTGGGGACGTGGGGTTCCTGCCAGGTCAGTGCAAGCCACCGGACAAACAACTAATAAAAATGAATGAGAGAGCTTGGCCATAATTTCTCATAAAAGATAAGGTGGTCCCAAGAAAGTCTGTCCCAAAGATCATGGACCATTGACAGGGAGATGGAAAAGCCTGCCAGGTCGAGGGGTCCACTACCCCTGCCTGGGTGACTTCTCCCTCTTCCGCAGTCTGGGGTCCCAGCTACGCTGGGCTAAGAGGCTGGTGGTAGGACCCGGGACCTGCCCTTCAGGAAGTCTGCTGTCAGGCTGCAACTTCAGTGTTCTGGATGTCTGTCCACACTGAATCTACATCACACAGTTCTCATGTTTGACTGATGCTGAAAAGCTCTGGCACTTTCTAGGTGGATTTTTGCCTCTTTGTGTCTTGAATGAACCCACAGCCGTGCCTTTTCTCTGGATTTGTTTGTGGTTGCT